CCCCCACTCTGACACTCACTCACGCTCACCCTCACCTTGTTGGCCAGCAGCAGACACGGCACGGGGCTCCCGTCAGGCAGGACCACTTTGCTGTCCAGGTCCTGTTTCCACTTGTGGCTGTTGCTGAAGGTGCTGCCGTTGGTGACGTCGAACATGACGACGCAGGCCGAGGCCTCCCTGTAGTACAGGCGAGTCATGGAGGTGAAACGTTCCTGCCCTTGGGGGCACAAGGGACAGCGTTACCCCCACGGCCACCACCACCACCACTCAGCTCTGCCAGGCCCAGCAGCTCCTCAGCTGGCACCTCCTCAAACCACCAGGAATTCCAGGGATGGAGCTGGAGCAAACTGGGCAGCTCTGAATCCTGACCCATATTGTCATGGAATCCCACACCTCTTTGGGTTGGAAGGAATCTTAAAGCTCATCCCATCCTGCCAACACCTCCCACCAGCCCAGGTGGCTTCAAGCCTCATCCAGCCTGGAACACTCCCAGGATTTGCATTGCTCCTGGTGTCACTTGGAGTCACCTGTGTGTCCCCACACCTCTCTGAGCTGCTGCAATGCCCAGGGATGGAGCAGTGTGGGCATCTCCTTCTCCCAGGGCACAGTGCCAGTGTGGTCCCTCTGCTTTCCACATCTCAGCAGCCTTTTTGGGGCAGTTCCTTTCTGCAACCCTCCTGCTGCCAACTTCTCCTTCCTGTTGCCTTTTTAAGGATCCCAGACAGAGGCAGCTGAGGAAATGAGTTAAGAGAAGAAACCACAGCCCTCTTCTTCTCAGCCCTTCAGATCCAGAGGTGCCATTTCAGGGATGCTGCTGCCAGGGGATTTGGGAATCCTGCTCCATGCAAGGCCCAGGAGCTGTGGCTGCTGTGCTAGAAATCCAGGTTTGAACAGAAGAGAAGTGACATATCCTGCTCCAGGTGAACCTGTTCCCCCATTGCCTCTGCTCTGGCTTTGGGAATGAAAGGCTCAGCAGAAATTCCTGTCTGTGCTCCTTGCACTTGGGCTTTAATTATCTAAATGACTCCAGCAGAGCAGAGGCAGCCAGAGCAGTGCTGGGCTGCAATCCACAGGCACCTGGGACTGGCTCTGGTAGCAGAAGGAAAAGGAAAAAAGGGAAGAGGAAAGGGAAGGGCAAAAGGGAAGAAGGGGAAGGAAAGGGGGAAGGAAGGAGAAAAGGAAGGGGAAACGGAAAAGGAAGGAGGAAAGGGGAGAAGGAAGGGAAAAAGGAAGATAAAAGGGGAAAAGGAAGGGAAAAAGGAAGATAAAAGGGGAAAAGGAAGGGAAAAAGGAAGATAAAAGGGGAAAAGGAAGGGAAAAAGGTAGTGGGAAAGGAAGGGGAAAGGAAAGGGACAAAGGAAGAGAAAAAGGAAGGGGAAAAGGGGAAAAGGAGGGGGGGAAAGCAAGGGGGGAAAGCAAGGGGGGAAAGCCCTGGAGCAGTTCCAGCCACACTCCTGATGTCCTGGCCCCATCCCTTACCTGCAATGTCCCAGAGCTGCAGCCGAACTGTCTCCGACTCCGACCACTGAACCACCTTCAGAGCAAAATCCACTGGGGAACCCCAGAAAAGAAAGGAAACCTCCTCAGAGACATTCCACACCCCTGGGCTCATTCTCCCACAGCCTCTGCCCATCGCCCAGCACAGCCCAACCCACGGCCCAGCAGCTCTGGGCCCAGTCCATGCACAGCTCCAGGTTGGATGGGGCTTGGAGCATACTGGGCTGGTGGGAGATGTCCCTGCCCATGGCAGGGGTGGGACTGGATGAGCTTCAAGGCCCTTCCAACCCAAAGCATTCCACGATTTGATGTCAGCAGTGCAGGGAGCTAAAAGGGGAAACACTGTTTTCCTCAGGTTTGCACTGCAGGGAAGAGCTGAGCAGCTGCTGCAGCCTGGCCCAGCTGGGCTGGAGCTCTCCAAAACCAGGAACTAAAGTTAAAGCAAATAAAAGAGAACAGTCTGCAGCTCTTCCTGCTGGCAGTGACCGTGGGCACAGCCCACTGGGATGTGGCTCTCCAGTGTTTTCCATTTCTAACCCATCTCTCATGGATGAGATTTAACCAGCTATGCTTGGCCATACTATTTCGGGTCCCTGAGGAGACTTCCTGGCAGCTCCTGCTCCTTCCAGGTTACTCATTTCCATCAGTCTTAATGCACCACAATCCCACTCCATCCCATCCCAGCCTGGTCCTTCCAGACCCGTCGCTGCCCCATCACTGCCAACACCCCAGTGGTGCTTTCAGGCTGTTTAACAAACACCAAATCAACCCTACTGCTGGTTTTGCTGGAGAGAGCTGAGCCTATCACCTCACACTGCCCAGTTACAGCTCCTGGGGGTGGTTATTCCAATGGGGGGGGAAGGATGGAGCATCCCAAATATGCTGGGCAAAGTGACAGAGCCATAGGGTCTGGGAGTGCAGCAGGAGGAGAGATGCCCAATAAACCCCCTGATGGGTGGTTGTTCCTGGCACAAATCTCTGCTCCCAGGGGGGAGCAGGATGAGTTTCCCACGGGTGGTGGGTGCTGGGTGAGGGGCTCAGGTGAGCGTGGAGCCCTCAGGATGCTAACTGGGCAGAGGTGCCAGTCCCGACCCCGGGTTGGGTACCAGGAC